CTTTTACCAACGAATAGTGGGATTGACCGTCACATTATAACGCCCCCACGGCTGAAAGGGCGAGCATGTTTGGTGTAACGGGTATTCGAGCCTGCGTCCCTCAGATTGCGAGTCGAGTGCGTAACCACCTGGCCATGCCGGGCCACGTTTTACGGTACTAAGATACGATGTAACTTTTCTGATAAATCACTTAGATCATCAGCTTAATTATCATGGAATCGTGACAGACAAAGCAGGTCTACGTTAACTGATCAGATATTAAATAGCTAAAGTGAAACTTAGACATATAACAACATTGCTTTGCTGAAGACGTTAACATATAGTGCGTAAAAAAAAAAGAATTACAATACAGGGTGTTTGATGTCTGACTTAGAAATTAAATAACAAATGGACAGCTATTGAAAACTCGTAACACGAGTTGCTGTTTACATTGTTGCTTCGTTGTTAGACTTTGAATTATTTCTTGACAGAACGAACCAGATGTGTTTGATGTGCACCTGCCATTTGAAAACTCGTAACACAGGTTGCTGTTTATATTGTTGCTTTGTTACTAGACTTTAAATTATTTTTTAACAGAACGAACCAGAAGCGTTTGACGCGAAACTGTCAGCTGAAAACTCGTAACACAGGTTGCTGTTTATAATGTTGCTTCGTTACTAGATTACTTCTTCAAAGAACGAACCAGAATTATTTGATGTACAACTAACTGCCCGTTGAAACTCCTGCTAGAAAACCGAAAGCTTGCATTGAAAATGACGTGTTTAACGCGTGAATAATCTTAGTGAATTCTAGGGATGTCATCGAAAATTTGTATAGTAAATATTGTTTAATCCATTGCTCATGTAAGAATTGATACACATTGTTTAACATGGTTAGTAACAACAAAACAATTGAAATCTCAACAAAACAGTGACATATATCACCAGGACAATCATCTGTCGCATTATCATTGAGGAAGTAAAGGAGGAAAAATATTCGCGGATATAACAGCAGCACTCCATTTAAGCAGTTTTTTGAACACTTTTAGGACCGGATAACACAAGTTTAGGCGCCACTCTACACAAAAAAAGAAGAAGAAAGAAAGAAAAGTCCCTACCTTTTGATACTACGTAAGGATTTACGTGCACCAGATGCTCTTGTGCAGAATGATTTTATTATTTGTTCTGTGTTTAGTTTATTAATTTCAGGACATATCCTGTCGCATTTTTTTATAGTTATTTCACTTACGATTAGCATATTCATACTGTTTAGTCTTAAGTAGCTGGAAGTGATATTTAAAACGTTTTTTGAGGAATCCTATCAGAACTCAAGAAACTCACTACAGATGGAGCTGCATCTTAGCACTTCACTAACCCTCTTTTAACGTAGTGTGTGTGTGTGTGTTTTAAGCCCAAAGCTACACAACAGACTATTTACACTGTATTCATGACGGGTATCGAACCCCATTTTTAGCATATAAGCCCTCAAGTTTACCGCTGGGCCATTAAAGAGAAAAGTCATAGTGAAACTCATGTTATACATATAAGTATATATATATATATGTATATATATATATATATATATACATACATACACACACACACACAACAAAGAG